TTCATAAATTCAAATTCTAAACTACGACTGCTGGCGCAAACAGCTGGAGTGCGTTTAGAAATGGAGTGTGAAGGTAGAGTAGTTGTTTGTCAGAGTGTTCTGAAGTCATCACTTGGAGTGCACTCTGGGTGCGCTATTTCTGAACGTATTGGGGCGTTGCGGTAAATGTCAACGTCAAACACGGTTCAACCCAGTTCCTGAGTGGGGTAATTTGGGCGCACTCTGGGCACGTCAACTCTCGATTCCTATGAACGATTCCAGAGTAACGTTCCGAGTAAGCACCTTTTAATTTATGGACGGTTTAGAGTTACTCTAGGGTCACTCCCACATCCAGAGTGCTATTTCTAAATACGCAACCCAGACATCGCTGACGACTTAGTTGACGTCGGCAATAGTGATACCAATATGGCGGCGATTATCAAAAACGAGACCATTGACGAGACCGATAAGCAACCCTTAGTAGTGTGTATTATCCTTGATGAAAATCTCCATCAAGCACCCTAGTTACCAGATGATGTTAGCTGTTTCCCATTACCAGACAACCTCTTGGACTTAACTAACGATTGATCGCGCCGCTCTAAAGGGGTTATCAAGCGTTTTACCGGTAAATAACTATTCGCTGAAGGTATATTTATCAATTTGATTCGAGCGGTTTGGTATAAACAAGCACTAGGTCATCATTGTGACGTTATTCTTTGACATTAGTCGTGGTCTTCCTACTGAGGATCTCAATTATGGCTGTTTCCACCAACTATTTTAGGGAAGCCTTAACGATAAGTATTCCTTAAACTGATATTTCTTCCTGGAAGACTGTCATTTTATTGAATATTTATCATTAAGGCTTCCCTAAAATTGTTGATAGAAGCGGCCATTAATCTCATCTCACTTCATTTACTTTTTTTTTACCTATCTAAAATTAAGATGAGACGAACCGTAGAAAGAATACGCCTATTTATTAACAACAGCTTTCTACCCAAGGTTGTTTGAGAGACGTATGTTAGGTTGTTGATAACTTTATTACGTCATTTGATGGGGCGCCTTAACATATGCATATCTCCATAGGGCACCCCCAGATGCGTCATCAAGTTAACCTTTACCAGACCACCTATTAACTTTAGGAACCTTGCTTTCTAAAGTCTGTTTTTTTTTTAAAGATAATTCCCCAAGTCAAAAATTTAGTAACTATGTTGGCAACACAAGCCTTTCTACATAAAAAATTTGAAAACATTGACAACAGAATTGACAACTTTACATTGTATTGCCAACATAATGTCAATTTGACTTTTATCTTCTATACTCAAAAACTGGAATGCGCACACATTGCCATATCTGCTAAAAAAATGAAGCCATGAAAGACAGATACCACAAAGGGGAATGTTGTTCTTTTCTGTTGCTTGCTGACATATGTCGTTTTGGAATGTTTTCGCATATTTACCTTCACAAATTTCATCAATTGGAATACGTGTGGGAAGCAATTTCTGTTATTTAACGTAATGAGTGCGACAAAAACAGGTATCCCCTCCTCAGCAGCGGCACTAGGCCTCACGTTCGTCAATATGTGTAGGTACGCATTCCAGTTTTTGGTTATAGTTGATCGGGTAACACTAACAACACAACCCTTCGACAGATTATGGTCAAAACTCTTCCAAACCGTTTGAATTTCTTTGGTTATCATATAGGTACCTACCTAAATTTGATAGCGATTGTTTGATAAAGTACTTGATGACGTCATCTGAGGTGCCTTATGGAGATTTGCATTATGTTGAGGCATCCCAGTTGACGTCATAAAAGTTATCAGACAACCTACCTCTATCAGTTAACCTTGCATTAAACCTAAACATTTATATTTTTCAATAGGGCAATCGAATCCATATGGCGGCCATGGTCAAACAGAGAAATTGACGCCATCAAGAATTTCATTTTAACCTTCAGTTCAGACAATTATGACGTTTTGTTTATGTGAAACTGTCCTCTGTGTAATTTTTGGAGTCAATAGGATTTTCTATTGATTATTTCAGTACAGATGACTATGACAATTTGCCCTGGACTGGAGGGCAGAGGGCACACAATAATTGATAAACAAAAATGACAATTTTGGTATTTTCGACAAGTTTTTAATCTATATAGAAAGCTTCGGATGACATTATTTTGGCTATTTCCCACTCGTTTTTACCAGAAAAGATTTTTCCTACAGCCGTGCGGAAAAATCGATTTTCCGCACTGATATGCGTGCGGAAAATGAGTTTTCCCGCACGGTGCGGTAAAACTTTTTTTTTTTGACATATCAGTGCGGAAAAACTTTTTCCGCACGGCTGTCATTGCGGAAAAAAATTTACCGCACTGAAAAAAAAAAATTTACATTTTTTTGTCTGTAGGAAAAATATTGTACCTGCGGAAAATATTTTTCCGCACTCGGCTGCATCACCGAACTCCACTACGCGTCGTTCGGTGAACGGCCGCCGCGTGCGGAAAAATTCATTTTCCGCACTTGTTAGGTAAATAGCTATTACACCGCAAGTGTAAGGTACAATCGTTTTTCTACCAGGCGTGCGGAAATTGCGGAAATAAGTATAACTATATACATAATTTGTTGAATTTTTTTTTTTGACAGCCATGCGGAAATTTTTTTTCGCACCGATATCAGTGCGGGAAAACTAATTTCCCGCACGGATATCGGTGCGGAAAATTAATTTTTCGCACGCGGCTGCCGTTCACGAACACGGTTATAATCAACGAACTATTTTGGTACGTACGTTGAATGCACTCAGAATTACTTACAAAACAAAAATTCAGTAGAAGTGTCATTTTTATTTTAGCGTGTGAAAAGTAACTTTTCACATGCAAAAGCGTGTGAAAAGTTACTTTTTGCACGCTGTGCGGAATAATTGATTTTCTAGGTAAGTTAGTAGTGCGTTTTTAATAGCTTTCTAGAGCAGTCGTAGAAAAAAACTTTTTTTGCACTGATATGCGTACGGTAAAAGTTTTACCGCACCGTGCGGAAAAACTCATTTTCCGCACGGATATCAGTGCGGAAAATTGATTTTTTTCTACGACTGCTCTAGAAAGCTAATAAAAACGCACTACTGTACTAACTTACCTAGAAAATCAATTATTCCGCACAACGTGCGAAAAGTACTTTTCACACGCTAAAATAAAAATGACACTTCTACTGAATTTTTGTTTTTCAAGTAAGTCTGAGTGCATTCAGCGTACGTACCAAAATAGCTCGTTGATTAACTTTAAATAATAATTTACAACAAAAAAAAAACTTAAATCTCAATGTGAATATAGTTATTTCGCAGTCGTAGAAAAAAAAAAAAGCACGCGTGTGAAAAGTGCTATTTTCAACACTTGTTGCACAATATAGGTAGATACTATTTCCGCACAGCTGTAGGAAAAGACAATTTTCGTATTTTCTTATAAGTAGGTACATACCTATAGTATGACCGTTGCCGCCATATTGAGTTTATGTTTTAACAGATCGCGTTAGATTGTCCTAATAATTTCCTATTTCCTAATAGTTCGCAAAACGCGTTTCTTTTTTCTTTTTAAGATGAAGATTCAGAAGAAGATTTTATTAACTATGAAGTTTTTTTCACATTATTCGATGATTTCCCTTTACCTAATTATATGGAAACGAGAAAAAAAGCGAACCAAAAACTCACATTCCTACTTAGTTTAAGGGCCGGTTTTCAATAGCAAGTCACTCCCGGATTAAGAACTCCAGAGTAAACATTGCAACTGGACACGTTTACCTTGGAGTTAAAACCAGTAAGTAAATGACCCCAAAAATATCTCAAATTGAGTTGAACTCATGGGATGTAGGTATGTACTGTATAATCTGAAACCAAAACAATCAGGAGGGCTTCAACCGAACTCTATTTACTTATCATGACATTGACGTGTCGATGACATAACATAATACAACTAATCATGAAACATTGGGGGTTTTCGAGCGATTGAGCAGTCGGTAACTTTGACAGATGAGCAACGCATTTCACGTTATTCAAGTCATTCAAGATTACTTGGTTAACAAATGACGTTTACTCCATTGTTTATCTGTCAAATGTAACCGATCGGTCAAATACTAGAAATCCTCTATACTGTTTACAATGGTTTACACTTATCGTGATCGAATAATCATCATGTAAACATATTATTCAGTCTCAAATTATTATTGGTCAAATCAATAGACGAAAGAACCCACGCATACAAAACTTCATTATCTTATTATCGCATTGAACTTGATTGGGAGCCGGCTTTCGACGGCCTGGTGAAAGGGACGCCGGAGAGGGAAAATTGCCCCTTCGCGACATTTCGCGCAGGCGCAACGCTATAAATGCGAGAGGGAGGTGACACGGTCGCGCGCTCGAAACGGGAGGCGAAACCTCGTCGCCTCGTTGGTTCTGACCGCGACTCGATTCCAGTGGCGGAATTTAAACCATTTTTTTTTTTGTGAAAATAAATAGAATGCTTTCATAAATGGCGGCCAGAAGAATGTTAATAAAACAATATTTTGTATTTTTATTATAGTAGGTTTATTATAGGCGAGTACGGTTAATCCTCTTACAGAGTGACGTCATAGTTTAATGTCAAGACAGCAACTGGTGTATTTGGTTTTTATACCTCAATGAACATAACTGACCAAGATGCTTATCTATAGGTATACCGGAATAGCCAAATGTTATTCCGTTTTTTACCGAATATTCTACCGTCATTTACCGACCGGTTATAAGCAAAAGAATAAACGGTATGCGCCCTCAAATTGTCTAATGTCCAATCCCGAATTTTTTACGTAATACTAACCTTTAAAACCAAAAATCATTTGAATGAGAATGTAACATTTCCTTGGCCTACTATATGGTCGTTTACTTTATTTAAAATAAATTTCAAATTTCAAATGTAGGTATAACGACGTCCATTAATTAGGTATATTTTTTTTTTCAGAGCGTGTCAAATAAACTAACAACCTGACGTACGTTATTTGACTCATAGGAAAGATGTTAAGTAGGCGATTTTTATCAAAATTACTGTCACCCAATGGAGCGAAAAACTTCAAACGTAGTTTGGCCATCGGTAGCAAAATTCCAGAATTAACTAAAGTAGGTATCTACATTAGAAACATAACAGTTTGATTTATAAAATGACAGTTTTCAGGATCGTTACCCAGTACGCAGAGGAGAATTTGCCATTTTAAACAAAGAGCATTTGCAATTTTTCACCGATCTTCTCGGTACGCAACGAGTCGTTACCGATCCGGCAGAATGTGAAAGTTACAACATCGATTGGATCAGATCTGTCAGAGGTAAGTATTGGATTATATCTACTTTATTTTTATTTGTTTCTTTTTCTAATAGCATGTAAAAAAAAGAATGAAAATATATTTGTCAATCATATTAATGTAAGTGACGTTTAAAACATTGTTTAACTGTCAACTGTCAAAAAAAAGTGCCTACTGAGTGAAAAATTTGCAGGTTACAGTACCTGTATCCTGAAACCAAAAACCACCGAAGAAGTATCGAAGATTCTGTCGTTTTGCAACGACCATCGGATAGCGGTGTGTCCGCAAGGAGGCAATACGGGCCTGGTAGGAGGCTCGGTACCGGTTTTCGACGAAGTCGTCCTCAATACGGCCCTGATGAATCAAATTTACGATATCAACGATACTTCAGGTAAGGACTTTTTTCTTAAAAATATTTCGATTATACACGGTGGTCCAATTTGAACACTTTTGAGAGGAAACGTCAATTTCTGAGCGAGATACAGACAAACGAATCTCCCAATCTGAGGCTCAAATTTTATAAACAAAAAAAAAAAAAAAAACACTGCACACAATAGTCCATTTTCACGTGCCTCTTATTTTACTAGGTAGCAAGAGTTTAAAAATAGGTCATAGGTTGTGGCTAGTTTTATGTCAGCCATGTTTTAGAATGGTTTACTAATGAGAAATTCGGCATCCTCGCATGTTTGGGAAAGTGACGTCCCTTTCCTATCCTGCGTTTTCGCAGCAGTTTAAAAATTCGATTTTCAAATCATTTTATTTTCATAAATAGGCGTTTTTTTTTTGGAAAAAATACCCAAATGTTACGCGCCTATTCTTTTTTGCGGGGCGACAAAAATGTTCGCATCACGGGCCACTTATTCGCTTTTTTTGGTAAGGAGGAGAAATTGTGTTCACGGAGCTCCTTCTCTCCTGGGAAAGGAAGTATTACGGACATTCAAGGTGTCAAGATGATTGAGATGAAGCACTGATTCATTCCCACGCTGCATTAGGCATAGAAAAACCTTATAGAAAGAAATACATTCTATTTCTATTTTTTTTTTTACAAAAAATGTACATGTCACATAGAATATGCTGGGAAAAAAAGTCTTGACTTGCTCTGGGGGGGGGGGCTGCAGCCCGGCAGCCCCCCCCTGGATACGCCTATGGCCAGGAATAATTAAAATTAGTGTCACTTTTTTTCTTTTCCATCTATACATATATTTACAAATTGCTGTCTCTTTCTTATTCCAAGCTCTTGGCCACTCAAGCGCCGGGAATAATCAAAGTTCGCGTCACTATTCAATTTATCCCATTTTATCTCTGTCTTATTCTTAACCGCTAAATTTCTCATGTCGTTTTCTTTGTTCTGCTTGCCTATTCTACACTCTATTTTTTTCCAAGATAGATTTTGACATTGTCAACTTTGAAACATAAACAATACCGCGTGGCTCTGATTGGTCGCAAAATGCCGTGTCTTTGCAGGTCAGGTAGGTATCCTCTCACCTCACATGGTTGGAAAAAAAAAAAACGATACCTCCGTCGAATGCAGGTCCATGGCATCTTGTGACCAATAAGCGGCATTGTTTATGTTTCAAAGTTGTCATTGTCAAAATCTATCTTGGAAAAAAATAGACTGTATAGGCTTTTCATTGGCCAGAGATACAAAAATTACATAAATTAGGTACAGATTTTCATAATAGTACCTATATTATGATATAAGTGTATAAGAGGTCATTTAAAGCACGCGCAATAGTAGATTATACCACGAGTCAATAATGATAGCTATTATTCCCGAGGATTATTACGAACTGAGCCGCGTTAGCGGCGAGGGAGTAACATTCCGAGGGAATAATAGCCATTATTGCGAGTAGTATACTCTACTTTATTTACGACAAATTAATTTATTTGAGATTTTCAATGAACAAATTTCATCCGTCTCATAATTTTCAATACAAATCCACCAGCACTACACGTTTGACACTGACACTTTTGTGGAATAATGACCATTAATCCCGCTACTCGTCATTAATCCCTGGAGGAATAACATATGTCATTATACTGCCAAAATCACAAATATAATACGCACATTATACATTAGTCGTAAATAAACATCATTTTATGCACGGTGCAGCGTGCGATAATCGTTGATTATGATGCATGATGCGTAATAAAAAATCATTTTTTATTGGTTTAGGATTAGATGCTATCCCCTCGTTTTTATTCTCATCGGTGACTTCACCGGTGAGTAACCTATCTTTGTTTAGTGAATGGAAAATGACAATGACGGCCATAGAATGGTGGATCCATCGGTAAAATTTGATGAGAATATAAACGCAGGGTATCTCTACTAATCCACCTGCAATCCAATTGAATTCTAATGCACGGGCTACGTCAATCACATAGTGTATAGATGGAATCGCAACATTTTGCAACTCTCTATTGTCATGGTTCCGCGCCGCGGGTCCCGCGCGTCGGTCCGATCTACGACCGCAAGCAGCGCTCACAATAGGACTTTTCAAAAACGCTGTTCCAATTAGCCCGTTCACCAGCTTTTTGTTTTTCATCTTTCTTTAAAGAACGCGATTGAAAAAAGAAAACTCACATCAGTTGGTGATCGGGTTAATCGCAACACCGTTTCCGAAAACGACTATTATGACCTTGATTCGAAAAATACCGACAGATGAGCAATCCTGTGTAGTGTTAACAAACTTTGGTATCTTGGGTCCGATCCAAGAGGTCCAATCAGCGAGTCGAGTAGCTGTTTAATATCGGCGATGAGTGCGCTGTTTGGTTTGGCGCCCTTTGCATTTCTGGGAATCCCAGTCCTCAATTAACTGACTGGGGACTGAGATGTCTGAACTCAGCTAGTTCAATTAGTTGTTTAGCCATGTTTGGATGTTTGGAGCTTGAAGCTTCTATTTAAGAGGTGTTATCATTGTTATCAATAGTGTCAAGTGTTCCTCTGACTTGAGCCTAGTACTCATAACTGCGAAATTCGCACTTTTTTGACATTGCTTCGACAATTTGACGTTTGATTCACGCATAAAACATCAATTTGTCAAAGTAATGTCAAAAAAGTGCGAATTTCGCAGTTATGAGTAGGTACTAGGCTTTAGGAAATTTTCCGGTAGATATTTGGATAGTTTAACGGTTCGAAACCTTGAAATCATTTTTGGGATTCGCACCAAAAATTAAATAAAAAATTGGGAAAAAACCTTTAGCTATTTTATGCCGCCTTTGGCTAAGCACCCATACAGACCTCAGAAAGCCGGCGCCTATGTGCAATCACATACAGAGGGTGTCTCATATAAAATAAGCAAGTTGACGTCTACTTCCGGTACAACCGGAAGTGCCACCATCTTGAAAATATTTTAGCCGGGTTGCCCCCATTGACATAGTATACTGTCAAATTTTTCATGTATAGATCGATTTGGTTTCCGATGTATTGCTGTCTCTCACTCAAGCGCCGGGAATAATTAAAATTCGTGTCACTTTTTTTTTCTTTTCCTGGCTTTATTTCTGTTTCTTTCGTCTTTATTGAGTTTCTTATATTGGTGTCTCTTTATTACTCCATGTTTATTACTTGACTAACATTTTCTTTTCAATTTTTATTGAATTTTCTTCACAAAACGAAATGTCGGATCAAAAACTAGCCACGCCATCTTCTAGGGGAGAAAAAATGGCTACAATAAAGTGACATTTTTCGTAAAACATCACTTTACATATCAAATTGCGTAACTTTGCCCTAATTTATTTAACCCTGTATCTCTCACCGTTTCCGAGATCTCAATAATGTGGCTCGGATTTGAAACACTCTGTAATTTTGCATTGACGGTAGTAGACGTTTATCTGTCAACTGCCAAAAGAAAGAGCCCACTGAGTGCAAAAATACAATCAAATCGAAGTCGACATTGGCTCCGTCAAGTTAGTCCCCCCACATTCGAATTTTCTAAAAAAATTGCAACCACTTACTGTGCTCGAAGTGTGCTTTAATGTGCCGATTATATTTTGAACTGTGCCGTTTCGATAACAAAGTTATAGGAAAAAATAGATGAGGGGCTAAGTTGACGCTCAGCCCCCCCAAAATTTTGGAAATCAGATGAAACCAAAAAGGACTCTTATCCAATCTGAAGTGTGCTGAACTGTGCCGTATCAGGTTTTTCTGAAAATTTCCATATTCGGTCATTTTCCGACAAAATCCTACTGGGGGGCTAACTTGACGCTCAGCCCCCCCAAAATTTTGAAAATCAGATTAAACAGAATTAAGTTCTTATCCAATCTACAGTGTGCTGAACTGTGCTGTATCAGGTTTTTCTCAAAATTTCCATATTCGGTAATTTTTCGACAAAATCCTACTGGGGGGCTAACTTGACGCTCAGCCACCCAAAAATGTCGAAAATCAGTTTGAACAAAATTGTATTCTTATCCAATCTGAAGTGTACTGAATTCTGCTGTATCAGGTTTCTTAAAATTTACATACTTATCCGCTTATTTTCCGACAAAATCCTACTAGCTAACTTGACGTTCAGCTCTGAGAATTTACATACATACCATCCATTAGGTTTATATTTGATTTGATAAGAATAAGAGTCAGAGTCCGTTTTTCTTTGATCTGATTTCTAAAATTTGTTCAGTTTTTTGTCGGAAAATGACCGAATATGGAAATTTCGAGAAAAACCTGGTACAGCACAGTTCAGCACACTTCAGAGTGGATGAGAATTCAATTTTGTTTAATCTGATTTCCAAAATTTTCGGGGGAGGCTAAGCGTCAAGTTAGCCGCCCCCTAGTAAGATTTTGTCGGAAAATGACCGAATATGGAAATTTTGAGAAAAACCTGATACAGCACAGTTCAGCACACTTCAGATTAGATAAGAATTAAATTTCATTCAAACTGATTTTCGAAATTTTTGGGGGCCTGAGCGTCAAGTTAGCCCCCAGTAGGATTTTGTCGGAAAATGACCGAATATGGAAATTTTCATAAAAACCTGATACAGCACAGTTCAGCACACTTCAAATTGGATAAGAATCCTTTTTGGTTATATCTGATTTCCAAAATTTTGGGGTGGCTGAGCGTCAAGTTAGCCCCTCATCTATTTTTTCCTATAACTTTGTTATCGAAACGGCACAGTTCAAAATATCATCGGCACAGTAGAGCACACTTCGAGGACAGTAAGTGGTTGCAATTTTTTTAGAAAATTCGAATGTAGGGGGGCTAACTTGACGCAGCTGTCGACATTGGCTGATACAATCTCGTTTGTTGCAACTTGGGATCTTTTAAGGGATTTTTATTATTAAAAGAATATTTCTAGGAGATGCAACTAAATTTTCACCTATCCTCAAACGTCAATTGTTAAATGTCAAATTGACAATCAACGAGCGCGTTAGCACGAAAATGGAATCCCTACGCA